ATATATAGTGTCAGAGACTTTAAACCAGAAACGACAGATGCGATTTTCATTAGTTAGGACCTACACTACAGTCTACACGCAAGAGTTTGTTGCCAGGCGTTGTCAGTGCCAGCAAGTGGAGGTTCCTCCACCTATCTAGGAAAGAGATCGACAGACGCCAGGGAGGGGAGTGGGGATCAGACAGCTCGGGCGTTCGCTCATGTCAGCACCTCCAGCCGACGCTATCGTCTGCCGGCTCTCGATAGCACCTGTCGATAACGCCAGACCGTGCAGCACCCGGCGCGCGGGCCCTGCCACGCCCTGGCACGTGCCGTGCGGACCGCACCGTCAGACAATAGACAACAGGCTGACAGCCAAGCCGGACACTACCGCTAACCATTCACCGGAATTCTGGGTCGATGCTCGAGAACTTTGGGAAGTGTTGTGACAGCCCCTTGTTGCTGTGGTGACCCCAAGTGAGTAATCACTGATGAAGACATCGCGCTCCCCGTGGCGACCCCAGGTCACAGGAAAGTGACGGAGCCAGCCACCGGATGTGTCCGTTGACATGTCAGGACCGCCCCCTGAGTCACAGGCTGTCTGCCTCGAGGCACCGTACGGCGACGTCCGGCCGTCACCTCTCACCGCGTGACGTGACGCAACAGACACCTCGTATGAACGCAGCACACATCCGCCGCTTCCAACAGGCTCCATGAATCACGTAATTAGCCAGCTTCTAATATCTAATGGAATGCGACTGAGCTTTGTGTCGCCTGTCAGAATGAATGATCTGCTGCTCCGACAGGGGACAGCGCCTCGCGTGCTCCTTCCGTCGCCGGCCGCGGCCACGCCCTAGCACATGGCTGTGCGCTGAGCAGTGAGCCGGGCCGCGGTGGTCCGTCACAGTAGTGAGTCACGGCGGCTACCCGCCGCCGCGCGGCACCTGCGGTCCGCCTCAGACGCGCGCGGCAACTCCCGGCTCTCCGGACATACAGGAGACGGATTCGGGACGGAGCTCCTACCCGCCTCGGCTGATGAAAGGACCCAACAGCCTGGAAGAAATCACCTCGACGGCCCAATACACGCTAGTTAGCCAATCATGCATAATCTATGCACGGTTGCTTTTCTACACGATCATTACATCCAACCTTCAAGTGTGACGGAGCTCCCTCTGCCCCCGACTGAGGACTGTCTGCCACCGCCTCTGCGCAGCGATACACGTCACTCTGACAACAGCACAGCGGCAGCGCGGCGGCTGACTCACCGGTCGTCCGCCCCACCCCCCACGCCGGCCGCGGGCGCGCTCACTTTTGAAAAAAGAGCGCGCCGCCCGAGCCACCTTGAAGGACGCGGACGCGCGGGACGTGGATTGGGGTGCGGTGGGACGGCGCAGGAAAGTGCGGACAGGGGACGGCAGGACACGGCAAGGAATGGACATAAGGCATGGGCACTGGGCAGGCGCAGGATGCCGGCTGGTAAGTATCGGACAAAGCCCGGGCAGCTGGAGGGCAAGGGCCAAGGACAAGTTGCGGACAGCGGCTGGGGCCTGGGGAGAAGACGACGCGGGCAGAGATAACTGGGGCGGACAAGGATCGGAAAACATATCCCCAGAACGACCTAGGGCGCGACAGCAAACGGTTCATCTCCCGAGGGTGGCGACCCGAGCAACATCTTCGCGCGAACCACGATTCAAACAACACCCCAGAGAATGCCTGAAAATCAGCGAAGCACCAGTCGACCCCGTCCCAGTGCACTCTAGACGAGCTACGCCCGTTTGAATCCAAACAACCCTCCAATCGGTAACAAACAAGCGAAAACCGTAACCGTGACAGTGCCTCGCGCTCCGACACTCTAAGCTTCACTATGACGGATAAACGGCCTGCGAAGCTTTTAGCCTGGTGAGGTCGGCCATTGCGGAGCCAGTGATGTAGCACGTGGACGAGCGGGCGGGGCGGGGCGGGCGGAGCGGCAGACTGCGTGGCGTTCCTTACAGGGCGATTTGAGCCGACACCGCCGGCGCCGCCGGCGCCGCAGGGCCAGTAATTGGTGGTGTGTGGTCCACTGCAGACCGGCGGGCAGTGAGGCGGGGCGGACCGAGCCTGGGAGCGAGCGCAGCCAAGCGACCTCCCACCCTCGCAACGGGGGTGGGGTGTGAGCATCGGCACAACGGCAGCCCGAAACGGGTGCATGTCCGTGCCAGCATTTTGGACAGGTGCAAACAGTTGTTCTCAGGCTTCCAGTGTCTTCATCGCTGACTAAATAGTTACATATTCGGTGGCCATCTTTGGATCCTAGCTCAAGGAGCCTTATAACATCCAGCCTACTGACAGAGTCGACCCAATACGAGACACTGCCAACCGGACCACTGACAGAGCTTCCAGACCTGCACTGTGGATAATTAGAGATGCCGATAGCGCTGATTGTCTCTGTCGGCGCGCTGATTGTCTCCGTCGATAAGTCGATTGTCTATGCTCAGTGGTGGGCGGTCGGCAGTGAGGACATCATCGCTCCGAGCCGGGCCCGTCACCGCGGACGACAAACCGGTCCGGCCAGCGCGCCCGGCCGAGCGGAAGCGGGAGCGCCGTCTCGCTTTAAAAGGCCGCGTCTCGGCCGCTCGGGTCGGCCGCCGGCACCGACCGCACTCACGCCATGAACTGCATACAGAGCGACCGGGCCGGGCGACCAGCGCCGAAAAAGGCGGCCGCGCGGCCCCGCCGGACCCGGCGACTCAGTTCGCCCGAGAGATCTCCACCGGGACGCAGCCAAACGTGGCCAGAGTCTCTTCAGGCGAAACCGCAGATACTGTCGGCCATCAATAAGCCACCATTTCTGGAGAGATTCACGCTTTTTGTTGCATGACGTGGGCCGTACCGGGGTTGGTAGCGTGCCATCGATGCCGCCTGGCCCCACTAGTCACAGCAGTGTCTCATCGGGTACTCAAAAAGCACACATCTATGCATCGCACATCAAAGGCCTGACAAAAAGGGCGGCCTGATCAAAGCTGCCACAGGAAGCTTTTTCTGGATTTATTTGTGCAAATTCTTGAACGGTTGATTAAACGAGGCGACATAAAAAGAACATAATTCACAGCGTTTTCACAGAGCAAAAATCCACAAGGTCACAAGGTAGATGGATACATTTAGAAGAATTTTCATTGAACAGAAACATGCCATCGGCATTAAGCGACCGATAGGATTGTCCACTAGGTCTGTCCCACTCTAGTCGGCCAAGCTGCCACTGCAGCTGCCGGACCACTCTAGTCGGCCAAGCTGCCACTGCAGCTGCCGGAAACTGTCTGTCGCCTCGGCTGCTGCGAATGGTCACTGGTCAGCCTATCGAGCTGTCTGTCGTCTATTCTCCAGTCGCCGGAAGGACTGACTGCACTCGCCCTCCTACCGAGGCCGCCGTCCCGCTGGCGGAAATGCCCGCCATGACCCGGCGAGCTGCAGTCTCGGCAAGCTGCAGTCTCGGCAAGCTGCAGTCTCGGCGAGCACGGCCGGTCTGAGCTGGCGCACCCACTGGGCAGCCGGAGCCCACACCTCAGCACCCCGACCCTCCGACCGGGCGGCCGGCCCGTCACCGCCGTACAGGCGGCCGTCTGACCAAATTTGGTCACGGCCAGCGGTCAGTAGTGAGCCGGTCGGTCAGTAGTGAGCCCCGATCAGACGTCGACAAGCAGACAGACAGGCAGACAGACTGACTGACAGACAGACGCCCCAGGGAATCCACTACCAGAGTGGATTACTAGAGGTCGATGTCGAAGACGGCCACCGCCCATCCCCGCCCCGCCCATCACCGCGGGACGTCTCTCCCCTCTGAGCTGGCAGACGTGTCTGTAATTCCTCGATGGCACGAACCACGCCCGACACACTAACACGATTATTAACGTCCGGCTCACATGCAGAGTTCTGCTCCTTGTGATGATGTGCAAAATGTCTATCAGATAAAGCTCAACCTCTTGCCCTAATGAACGTGGGATACTATGAGCTAGTGAGTAGGCTGAGTAAACAAATTAACCATTAACCGGGATTCATACTGAGGGTGACAACACACAAAACCTTGCAAAACGGTAAATCAAAAATTAATACCTGGGCTCGTCTGAAAAAGGTTGCGTGATACGAGTAAGCCCGACAATGAACGCTTCCTCCACGCCCCCGAGGTTCGTGATAGAGGTTCGTGTCTTCACACACTAAGTCATCGTGCGGGGCAATTCACGTAATCCAAATAAACAGATATGCACTGCATAAGACAGTGAATAAATAATAAAAGTGGCGCTATTCTCCACAATGTATCTCAATTCTAGCCTCAAAACACTTGTTTTGTTTTCTCGCTGTCACTCAAATGAGTGCAAAGTTGACACTTGACGGGCAGCAACAGAAAATCGATAAACGTCCCTGGCAACACGTAGCCTCGACAGAGTTTTCCCCGCTACCCACTCACAATCCCGGAACATTGCAATGAGAAAAGTTTGAGGTCGCTGATCAGACAGAGAAACTAGCGGCGGCGTCGTGCCCGGGGCCGAAGCCTCTCTACCGATCGGCGGCTTCGGCCCGATTACCATATAAGGCAGCCGAGAGTCGGCCGGCCGTGCCTTGTGCCAGGGACCAGCCGCGCCGCGGTACCGCGCCGGGCCGGCAGCGTCTATCACTGAGCTCACGGATGTTCTAAGGAAGGGGGAGGGGCAGGGCGAGCCTTCAAACAGCCCGAATGTTTATACGATCCCACACACCCGTCAATGATTAACGGTGGGAGGGGGAGGGGCTTCAAACACCCATAAAGTAACCAGAGCGCACTTAACCGGCAATGATTACCTAATTAGCAGCAACGTTATGTCAAAACGGGAGGAATCCACTGCTCGTATATTAAGTGATAATCATTTTTTAACATGGCAGGAACCTCTCAATCTTCTGAAGACATGGGAGTAGTCACGGTAAGGAATTCAATGATCCCTTGACTCGACATTCGTTCAGTTCGCACAGGTCCGTATTTGTGTAAAACAAAGTTGTGAATTCGGTACTCACCCTGCAGCATGCTGCGGTAGGCATTGTCGGTGACTGCGAACACGTGCGGCGGCACCTCGTGGCGCTTCTTGCCCTTGTAGAGCTCGACCACCTTCTCCGAGTAGATGGGCAGCCGGCGGTAGGGGTTCACCACCACGCAGAACAGGCCAGAGTAGGTCTGTCGAACGGACACATGGGCGGTCAGGGGTATGCTGTGTACTCAATCAAAGCGGGCGGCGTGCGGTAGCTAGTGCAGCGTGCATGAGGCATATTCTCAACAAGTTCAAGCTCCAAGAGACAAGAGTACAAAAATCAGGAGTTTTGAGTGTTAACAGGCAACTAAAAACGTCCAGCTAGAATTCAGCTAAACAATTGCCTACAACGAATGCAATTCCATATAAAGGCTGGTAGACATGTTAGGAATTTCAGAAAACCAGCTCTTCGCCTCTATTCAAGCTATTCGTCTCCTAGAATACATACACCAACGCGTTACCGTTAGCTGAGGTATCCTAACACCAGTTTGTTGAGGCTTTAGCCATGGTACCGGCTTATTACCGTTATTCTGACAACTTCACAAACCGTGCCGACTTTCCCGTTACCGGCATAACGCGCAGACACGAATACTACGTTTACTGCATATTCACAGCTGATACTGAAGTTCCGCCAACGCAACGGTTGTATGGCTGAGCTGCCATCGCAGAACTAGCAAGACTAGGAAATGTAGCAAAGTTTGATATCTGGAACTATTTTCGCAACACAATAATCATCTACTTTTGAACTGCACTTTTTATCCACTTAACTTCTTCAACTTATGTCTGATTTTTTGTCTGACTTCCCAAAAAACGCTGAGTGTCAATAAAAATCATATCGCAAGAAAAAAAATATACACAGGTCACAGTATTTACACCTCCCAGCCACCCATCTAGCACAGATCTGGCAGTGACTTCGTCCCAGGGGGCGGATCTGACGTCAGGTGCGCCTTTCAGGCCGCCGAGGGACGCCAAACCATGACTAATGACACGATCAAGGCACAACTGACGGCCAGCTTGTTTGGAAAGGTCGGCGCAGAGGCTGGCCCGCTCCGATCAGCCGAAAATGACTGCACGTGACGGCAACAACAAACGGATGTCCCATAATTTTTAATGCAATCAACCTGTGGTGACGTCGCGAGCTTCGCATACAGCTGCTGAGCTGCAAAGCCATATGACGGAGCGTACCAATGGCAATGGTGACGTGCATCAATAGGTATGTAATGATTGCAAAGGTATGGTAACATCATCATTCCACAACATCTAACTTGGCAATCTAATACTAGGTACTTGGATAAACATATCTCTATCAACTAAATGCAGCTAAATAAAAATAATGAGTGAATGGGTAGCTATCATTGAGCTCATGTCTAAAGACAAAAAAGGCGAAAGGCACATTGAGACGATAAACGTTCACCAGGCGCCCTTAATGTATTCCGACCAGACATTCGATATTTAATCTGAATAATCAGCTCTCCGGCCGACTGCACAGCATTCTCTCGAGCAGGGCTCGCGTGCTATACGTTGACGAAATCGAATCCACCTGTGGCGCTGTTTTGCAGCGTTTCGCCACTACACCTGAATATCGTAGCAGATTGTGAAACCCGCGGCTGCGAACAGGGCCGCGGCACACAGCCTGATATGGAGATGACGAGAGCTGCTTTCGGCGCCGCCGTTCGTCAAAACCGCCGTCGATATCATGCGGGGGAATCTACTGTCTATTCCGAGACTGGAGTCTGGTCAAGTCGCAGTCGTGAGACGTGACCACGACGGCAGAGTCTGTACTCTGTGACCCCGAGACCGGATCGATGATCCCTTCCATCGGGGCAGGGCGGGTCATCACGGACCCCGCCGGGGTTCAAACTCTGGTCAGTGGCTACTCGGAAACCAAACTCGGGCGGCGGGATGCTATACGATCGGACCAGCACACAGTACCACAACACAATCCCCATAGGATGCTGCAGCCAGCGCTGACCTGTCTAACACTCTCTGTTTGTGTTTATCAGGCAGCTCGACGCTGGGCTCTCTAATGGTGTTGAGACTGACGTTTGGATCGGTCAGCGTTTCCGTCTCCAGCTCCCGCGCCCGATATGGTCATAACACGACAGGTGGGAGGGGACGGTCGGGCATACCTACCCAGTGACCGGGTATCGAACCGGGGGGGGGGGGGGATTCGACCTGTCGGTACTGACGCTACTGACACGGAGCGACACCTGAGTCACAGACTGCCGTGACACCTGGCTGAGTCACATCGACACGGGATGACTCACCACGCCAGACGGCAACGTGCATACATAACCAGCCTCTCAAATGCACACGGAATGCAAATAAAACCCGTCTGAATTGAGCATGGAATACACACCAACATCGGCGAAGCCCGATGTTGATAGAGGATTTATGCCGCGGTTGAACAACCTTCAATAGAAGTTGCAGTGCGGCGTCACCACTCACCATATTACCTTATTTGGTGACTGAGTGGTGTCAACTCAGCGCCGGGGAGGAAGTGCCGCTCAAACCATTCCACCGTCAGCACCATTCCATCATTCCCCGACCCACCGCAGGAAGCAGAGTAACAGCACCAGTCTGACGCCATATACGGCTATACGCTGACACGGCGGCACAGGCCGACTGAAAAGAAAAGCCGGGCACCTGCAGCCGGCAGGTGACACGCACTACTGCGTGCCATCCGCCTGAATGTTTGGTGACAATCTGGGGTAGAGCTTCAGGTCGACGATGCGAAGCAGAGTGTTGGGGTGACACTCATAACCGGAGTGTTAGCCTCCGACACTCAGCGTTGAGTGCCAGAAAGACACCTTGTCGAGTAATTTTGTCGCTCTGCCATAGGTTGTCAGACAGCCGCACCATAGCAAAATACAGAATCGACACGGCTCCACCCTGCCTTGGTATCATCTCAGGCATCGACCTGCATCGGCACGGTCCCGGTCCTGACACCAAGACAAGATAACCAAGAGGTCCAAGTGGACATCGGGTCAGCTCAGGCCATAAAATTAGAAGAGACGGCTCGACTGGGCCCCTGGCACCCATTGGGTTGATGGGTTGAGAGGAGCGCTCTCGTTCCGCAGGCCCAGCCGGTGCATAAGACCTGATAGACTGACACCGATAACAGTAGCGCCTATCGACACACGGAAAACGAGACGCTCCAAACGGAAACACTATGAACTCTTGTTTGAGACGGTGCCGAGGACGATAGTCTAGCCACTTCACCCCCTCTCCACATCATCACATCACACACGGACACCCCACGTCACCCCTGACACCACATCACAGCTCCCCCTGACGACAGTCAGCCCTCACCGCGTGCCGTATTCCATCCATGCAGTGGCTAAACGGCCCATCTGTATACAGCGGTGCGTCGCGGCCCGGCGCCGCTACGGCGTCCTGTCCTGTGTGCCATTGTTTATTCTGTGTTATGTGCCTACTTTCACCGGTACAGTGCACGAATCGTTAGTGCGGACGTGACCTGACGGGAGATGCTTGAAGGTTGGTCTCTCTTACAGAAGAGGCCCAGGGGGTGGACGACAAGTAGTCATCAAAGTGTCGGAGATAACTCGGAGTTAACAATATACTGATTATATCGCACGAAGAGTTCTGCGGATCTGAGATCAAACCGTGTTTAGAGCTCTGCTTAATCAGCTAGAATAAGAGATAATGTGACAAAGTGAAGAAAGCAATGTACGGAAGGTAGTAAATAAGACTTGTTGAACGAAACAGGCAGAGTTCTTTCACCAACCTCTTTTCGTTTGCAATCAAAGTACGCATGGTAGAACCGTGAGTAGTTAATCCATAGGCCCAGTATTAGCAGGATATTACACACCATCCAATATGTAAGCGGAATTCCAGACAGCACAAATGCATCCGTTTTCCGGCGTTGTAGGAAGCAAGCTCATTGTTACTTTCACACATCCACAATGAGATTATCGTGAGTGGCACAAACATTTCCTGAATAACAGGGAATAATGGTGTCTGTTTACAACTGTCAATCACCACAGAAGCCCAGCTGACTTGCGTCTGTCATTACGCAACAACGAGAGGCAGGTCGTTTAAATCCCATCTAGAGTTAATTAGAGCACCGTCAGGCACCCCGCTGGGGGTGTCGGATCACCACTGTGCTGCTGGAGCAGAGCTGAGGGGAGAGTCGGCCGCTCCTCCGACCGGGCCGGGCCGGGGCACCATAAGACACGGCGCGCCGGCCATCTCCAAATAAGGCAGTGCTGGGTCCGAGCCGTGACCTACGGTGACCCGACGGGCGGCGAGCGGGCCGAGCGGGCCGATCGCTGTCTCCGGCAGGCATTGTCTGGCCGGTGGGCTGTGAGGAAACCGAGCCGTCGAAAGCCGTGTATCGGCCAGCTCTGTCGACACAGGGATCATGGGAGCTGCGACCCGAGGAGACTCCGCTGCTTCAGTCAGGACTAGAAACGCTGGACCCGACGCACTGAACCAGTAAACAGGAGGAGCAAGATGGACTATTTCTCAGTTGTTAAACTCGCCCTGTAGCTCCACCCCCGTGGCGGCACAGTTCATCAGTCTTGATTCCATCGCCCCCAACCCTGCCTCAATCCCAGTTGTCTCGTCAATCACGAGTCGCTGCAGCCCCAGAAGTTGTCGGTGCTCGCCTAATGGCCTCTCTGCACCCCCTTCATGCTCGCTGGAACCATGCAGCGGCCGGCGACGAGTGACGGGTTCGTGCGAGCCCCGCCGCCCCCTGTGGACGGAGTCCTGCCGGCCGCGGCGGAGCCCGTCACGGCGCCGTGCGGAGCCCGGAGCCTGGCCGACCCGGAGCTCACTCCACATCGGGTCACCGCACTATCGCTGCCGTCTTTTTATCGGCGCCCAGCGCCGCTCGCTGCCTCGACCCGGCTGAGCGACGCGCGGTGCGAAGAGCTCACATAAAAACGCCCCGGCAAATGACGTAAAAAGAGACTGTGGGCGTCGTAAAAAGAGTGACGTTCTGACACGGAGGCAGTGCGGGACGCGGCGCACCACCCGCACTGGACTTTCTCCGCGCGCGCCGGGGCAGAGGGCGGCCGATTCCAGCGCGGCCACGGAAGTGACGAGCAGACGTATCCTGTGCCGGCGCGCGCGGCGAGCGGCCGGCGCACTCCCGCAGCTTGGTGCCTTTCTCCGAACC